ACATGTGACTCTCCATCACCAAAGAGGGTGTGCGCTGGAATGAGAATGTATAGTTCAGTGAGCAGCGCGAAGAGTGATGGTAGGAGGATAATGGCAACTTGGGTCATGTAGATAAGTCGAGCAGTATGCATCACGAGGCCTAGACTGGTTTGGGCTGCTTGGCGAGGGGAACGAAGGTATGCGCCTGAATTCTCTCGCACAAAGTTTAGTGCGGTGCTAGAGTAGTACGCCAGGTAGGCAAGTGCACCGACCACACAAAGACCACTTGAAAAAGCGTAGACGTCGTTCACTGGAGCCGGAGTAGAGGAGTAGGACACAATGATCTTCCGACCAATGACCAAGGGAAGAATAGTGATGCCTACCCCAGTGGTTGCAGCAAAGAGCCAGATTAGAAGAATAAAGGCAGCAATCCGACTCCGGAAGGAGGGAGGGATGTATACTTTGGTGAACATGTTGCTAGATCGGCCATGTAGTCCATCGGCAGTATCGGGCTTCCCATCAACACGTTCATTGTCCTCAGTGACCTCAAGGAAAACGTGGTTGCCTTTGGGAATGCGGACCTGATCGGAGCCAGGGGCGCGCACGTATCGACCATCGCGCAGGAAGTAGACGTCACGATTTTCCCGCTCAGCTGCAGCCTGCTGGTCATCTCCAACGACCGGGTGTTCCCAGTCACCCTCGCTTCTAGAGAGAATACCCCACCATGTCTTCCGAACGTGGTAGCCTTCTTCCTCCAGGTGTCTTTCAGGAAAGAAAAAGTTGCTGAGACGCAAGAAATGAGCACACTTGTGGAACCACCAGTCATATAAATCATGCAAACCATCTGAGGGTTTGAAAGATTGAATAACTACAGGCAACACGAAGTTGTAGAACAGGAGGTCAACCGGGAACTCGAGCATCGGCGCACTGGCCGACCAATGAATCGGGAGAACACCATCGAGAGCAAAGTGCAAGCCCCATACGACACCTCCTAGACAAAGGATCACTAGCGCACCGTATACAAGGGCACTGAAACCGATCTTACGGAGCTGGGTAGTGATGGTGCGTTCGAGAACATCGCGTATTGGGTGGAAAGTTGGATCATCAGGGTCACGAATGAAATCTAGAGTCGAACCGTTAGCAATCCAATCAAGGTCTGGCACGTAGATAACAGGCACTTACAAAGCACACCGCTTCTCAAAATCTTTCTGCACATGGAAACAAATAGGGCAAAGTGGAACATGTAACAAGTGCCAACAAACCAGTGCACGAAAAGCGAAGTGAGCGGAGATGCAGCAGTAAAAGCAATACGAGAGGCCACTGTAGCATTAGAGAAGATCGGAAGTAAAGCAAGATCAAGAAGACTGCCACAATACAAAGGGAAGACAATCATCTCAATCCCGATGATGAGGATGACTTTCATAACTCCTCCGGCTTGTATCAGGACCTCAGCAAGCAGGCCCTCGATCCTTTGTCCCCGATCAGCACCAGAGAGCAGCCCTGTGATTCGTAGATAGAGAAGCCCTATCATGAATGCTAGCAAATAGCCCATGAAGATAGCAATAACACGATCCTTGGAATCCCAGACTGCTAGGTCATAATCGACCGGCACTGTGGCAGAGGCTGCTTTCGCTGCACTTGCGTTCATAAATCTTGTTCCAGGCATCGAGAAAAGCGATGATTTAGCGAAGGTGGTGAGTTGTTGTTGGGCTTGGCCAATAAGATTCTTGAAATGGGCAAGGTCAATGTCGAAAGACAGGGCACGGGGAACACCGAGCGTCGCAAGCCGAAGAGGGAAGTCATGTACGATGAACTTGACAGCGGCAAAGCCCGATTGGAACACAGCACCGAGGCGAGCCTGATGTAATTTAAGCGCCTGGTGCGAGAGCACTGAGAACATTGGAATATCAGACTCGTGGAAGACCAGGAATGCTTTGATCACTTTGTTCAAGCGGTGACTGCTTGCGTCGATGAGGGAAAGCGATGCACTAGTGACTGAGTTGTCCCGAGGAATCCATTCTCCAATAGGCAAAAGAGCACCGACAGGGCTCAGTACAATTTTGAAGAAAAGGCTGAACCAGTACATGAGATATCCCACGACACCAATAAGAGTATCAAGAGCAATGTCCGTGACGACTTCAACCGCGGTGATAGGAACACCGATGACGAGTTCGAGAGGATTGGCCAATAACACAAGAGCAATTTTACCCCATAGATACGGGAGCCAGATACCGATGGCTACTGTGAACGCAATCAGAAGGGCACAGAAGACGCCGTTCTGGAAAAGCCCGAAAATGGGACCATGCATGCCAATGAGGTCCATGATCCCTTCGAAATCGTCCCCTTCGATTGCATCGATATCGTTAGGGTCCAGCTCGGCATCCGCGACGGCAGCGGCATTCGCGGCAGCAGCATCGGCTGCTGGCCTCTCTTCCATCCTGGGAAAGGGCACGAATGGGTCTTCCAAGGCTGGATCCTGAACAATATGTTCGTCATCTTCGGGGACTGGCTCTTCTGTATCACGGGCTACAGGTGTGATATCTCCCCAAAACCATTCGAACACCCGCTCAGTGATGCCCAATGGAGGCCGACGGTCCATTTGTATATTGACAGGAATGGCATTGTCTCGAGTTGGCGGCCCGTGATTCACGTTCTGGGCATAAGGTCCGGCGTCCGCATGAGGCGGGTGATCCTCTCCATCTCCAACTTCAAGATTAACACCATCGACATCGTCCGAGACTTCTGGATTGTCGAGATCATGGGGACGAATAGAAGGCCCTGCTGATGAATCTTGGTCTACGGTCGCTCCAGTGATCGCATTCACAATCCAATCCAGATCATCCCCATGAGCCTCTTCGCGGAGAATGCGCAGCATCTCTTCATGGTTGCCATGAGTACGGGCCACTAGGTCCCGGAAAGCTAGAGCCCGAGCCGTAGGAGGAGGGCCTCCTGTTTCGTATTCCAGGTCATTCCCATTGTAGTCTCGTAGCTCCGCTTCAAACTCAGGGGGACCGTATTCGGAATCATTCGAGGACAGAGCTGGGGAGTGGGGAACAAAATGAGGAAGGATGTCATTGTCCAACTCATGGGCTTGAGCGTGTTCATTGTTGATCTCATTTTCCGCGCGAGCGGGAATGGGTTCAGGTTGTCGAATACCACCTTCTTCATTGAATCGATCATTTATCCGATTGTTGGCATTTGCAATTAACTGAAGAGCAGCCTCACGTTCTCCTTCTGCAATATTTACCATGGGTTGCTGTTGAACAACCCATTCTCGAATCAGGAAGAGGAGAATAAACGCAACCACCACAAGAAGGGTGATGAGCTGTCCTTCTAATGTATCCATGATCATGTTGTTGATTGTCGGGTACGGTGTCAACGAGTTCAAGAACTTCACGTCCGAAAGCCATGACGGATACCGAGGTTTGATTGAGCTAACCGTGACGTTGTCCTGTCCGTTGCCTTGCCCGACAGTCGAGGTAAACGCTGGCATGAAAAGTGTGGGTATCACTTTTTTGATGAGGGTAAGCATGAGCGGCTCTCCGGCAGCGAAATTGAGAATTGACGATCGTGCAGATGGTACAGCAGTAGTAGATGAGACGACAGCATTAGAAATTGACGAAGTAATCGAGTCAGTTACCGCAGTATTTACTGCAGTATTTACTGCACTGCCATTTGAGAACAGTTGCCCGAGACCATTTTGAGCGGTTTGTGCGGCCTGGTTCCGAACGTTTTCATTGGCAGACCACCGTCCATCAGCAAGCCAAAATAATGCCCTCCAGATTGCGCGCATCGACCACGGCAGCCATCCTAGCCAGACAAATGCTACGAGAACAAATCTCAACCAAGTCACTAGAGTCCGGAAGCATTGTATCAGGGCTTGCTTCGCGAACAGAGGTGCTGGAAGGCTCTGTGGCATGTTTGGGTCGTATAGTTTGGTAAATCGGAAGGGCGTTTTGCAGAGCTCGCAGTGTTTCTTCTGTGAGTGGGACAACCATTCAACGAGACAAATTTGGTGGACGAATTTAATACTACCGCTGCACTTGCACGGGTAAAACAACGGTTCCTCTTCTGTCGCCTCGCCATGACATATCCGACAGGTATCTAGGTCGTCAAATCCCTTTTCCCTTTCGTCATAAGCCGGGTCGTTCATTAGATCGGGGAATGCGGTATTATCCGCATTATCGCGGAATTGGTTCTCTGCGGGCTCCATAATTCGTGAATCTCGCCGATTTGACGGTGGTGGTTGATCAGATATTCACCATGTTCCTAGTCAAGCGGGAATGGCAAAGGTTGTGAACATACGGAAGGCTTGTGTTGGTGGGCAATCCGACTTGAACTGAATAGAATGATTAGTGAGGCCAAGATTGACAATTATATGATAGGAGTATCGTACCTCACAACCGTAATCTGTAGATCATTGGTGCTTGATTGTAACAAAGCAATTCAGCCTGTCCAGGTAGCTGCCCGGGGTCCAATTCGCCGACTCGGCGGTGTGTTTTGGCAATACATGAAATATGACAATACCTGCTTGTCAAGGCGATAGTAGCTGGGTATTGCTGTATATGCAGTACGTGTAGCCACCGATGACCTCACTGAGCTCTAAAAACAAATCCCTGATTTATTGTGTCATATGCGATCGCCTTGTCCTCATATTGTAATAAAGTTGTCCCTGCGTTTTCTTTCTCATCAGACCTAAAACCCATTCGTTCGACCTTTCGTTCCTCGTAACCAACTATTCTTCTTGAAATTGACCTAGCCTCCCGTGAAAGTTGCTAACGCCAAGACCGACGCGAACATTCTGCCTACAGCAGCTAATTTGCTTTGATTCACGCAGTCTCGAGCACAATCTCGAAAAGCCTTATATTCAACTGGGCTGTGAGCTTATTCCCGATGCAGCGATAATTTCATACTGAGCCGACTCGATCTAAGTGTGTAGAAGGGAAGTCCTCCGCGAATTCGGCCGACCTCGAATATCACGAGGGGATCGCGTGGCCTCGACAAGGTCAGCCTCAGTTGCGATGGTAGTGAAAGGGAATGAAGTGACGGATGTCACGACCAAAGCAAAGGGCCGAATGGATCTTGAAAAGCCACGGAGAAAGGGCTTCGTCCGATGGACAATCGGACTTATCGTGAGGTGAGTGATAGCATCGCCATACTTGTATACAGCGAAAAGCCCCTTTTAACATCTTCACTTCTCAGGCTATGTATCTGGTACGCACTCTTGACGCCATTTTTCAGGTGCCCAACCCATCTCGAAGACCTCACAGAGACATCACCTCGAGTCTGCAAGCCCTACCTGATTGCTCGTTCACACGTGGAACCTTATGTGACGCCATATTATGATATTTATGCGGCGCCTTACGTTGATCAAGCCCGGCCTTACGTGAAAGTTTTTAATCAGCGAGTTTATACCCCTGCATCAAAATTTACCAAATCAGGATATGAGAAGTATGGAGCGCCGACATTGAAGCAAGCTCAGGCATATGGGATTGAGCAATGGGAACATCAAGTCTCACCAAGACTACGGACTGCTCAAAATAAGGTTCACCAGGTTTACTTAGCCAAGATTGATCCCCACGTCCAGCAAAGCGTTGATGTTGTCTCTCCATACTGCCAATGGGCCAGCACCGTTGTGCTCAATGTCTATCAGGGCCAACTGGTCCCTTTCTACGCGCGTTCAAAACCTTTCATCGGGAAAGTTTACTCCACCGGCCAGGGTATTTTGGCAACCCATGTCATGCCCGGGGCGCAGTATACCTGGTCATCCGCGATCTACTTTGCTAACAGCTCACTATGGCCTCACGTTACTGGTCTTTACTCTGAACAAGTGGAGCCCCAGCTCGTCAAGATTGGGCAGCGATTGGCAAGCTACAGGGAGGGCAAGCGACTTCGCGCTGTCATAGAGGACGTGGATAGGTACATAAAAGTTCCTTGGTTTATCCAGTCCATAGCATGCTGACCATAAAATTTAGTAGCTCAACAGTCCAGCCCGTTAGCTCTTTGACTACCAAGTCACAAGAACAAATCCACACTTCGACCACTATGACTTCAACCTTCACGCCCCAGGCTTCCGTCCAACCCACTCTAACTCCTACCGAGCAAGCCCAGCAAGTCCGCGAGGAGATAGATTCGGACCTTTGGCGGTGGCAGGAAAGATTTTCTCTCGCGGCCGATAAAGGTATTGAAGACCTTGAGGGACGTATTGGGGAGATCGTGTCCGCCCTGGTTGCAAGCAGCGCGAACACCCATGGCCAGAGCCTTTCTACCGCTCTTCAGTCGGTTTCAGCCGAGCAGATTTCCTCCATGAAACAACGCATCAATGAACTTGCGGGTTCAATGCCAGAGGTGGACGCCCCGGAGATCGAGAAGTCTACTAGCGACTTGCTGATTCGGGAAATCCGAACTTCTGCTATCTCTGTGAGAGATCGCGCCCATGCACTCCGAGAGTGGTCTATCTCGTTCGAGGACGAACTCGTTCGCCGAGTCACTGCTGCTGTCAATTCGACAATAGATGTTCTCGACAGCATTCGCAATCTAGGCTTACAAGAAATTGGCATGCGCTGGGCGTGGATGGATGGTGTCACATACAAGGATTGGGCAAAGTACCATGCCCTCAAAGCCCAACTCGAGGAATGGCGTAACGACATCCGAAATGTCGGCATGAACCACAAATCCGTATCTGACGCCAGAGCCGTGGCGAGTGATATCTTAGATCAAGGCATGCATGAAGCCGAACAAGCTGCCAGGGAACTTGTTCGGTTAAAGGATGTTGGGATCTGGAAGATCGCGGCTCGTGAAGTAAGCGATCATTTTGAAACTCGCACCGAAGCCCCGCCAACAAGGCCCAAGGCCCAAGAAGAGACCGAGGAATCTGACGAAGAAGCTGCCAAGATGGTTTTCGGTAACGATGAGTCTTCCGAAGAGGTGGCAACACCAATATCGGATGACGCTTACGAGGAAACCCCCTTTACCGATGAGCCTTCCGCGGCTGTCAATGCTGAAGCGGACTTTGATGGCGTTAACGAGTCTGTTATGGACGATGATATTGTGGTGGAAAACCAGCCCTCCGCAAGACCCGCCTTTGGTGTTGCGGCTGCAGATGCAAATTTGCATCAAGCGCCTATCCTAGATGATGAGAGCCACAATGTCCAGGACAGTCTGGCAAGTAAGGTTGGCGATACCTACGCCGGGGCCAGCGATGCTGTTAGCGAAGCTGTCTATGGTGCATCGACGACCAACGGAGTCGGTGAGAAGGTAGCATCATTGGCCAGTGAACAGTACTCTGTTGCTTGGTCCGCCGCCTCTACCGTTATCCATGGCACCCCTCTCAGCCCTGTCGAAAAGGTTTACAGCGACGGCTCTGAGAAATATAGCGATGCTGTAGCCGCGTAAGTAGTATAGCATATTCAGCGTGTTTCAAAACTGCACAAAAATCGAATTATCGCTAATGCGAGTTTCTGCCACAGTGCGTCGTCCGTCATCTACGGCACCCCAACACCGGTTGTCCAATCTTTGATGGACGGAGCCAGCTCAACATTTGCTGATTCCACACATCAGGCTAAAGTACTCTATGAGATCGCGAAGTCTCAAGTTCTTAGCCGAATAGCCGAATCTAGCGCTCCTGTTCATGTCCAGATTCTCGCTTCCATAGAGTCGGCCTATTCCGGGTCTCTAAAATACGCCACAGATGAGCTGGAATCGAAGCTCCGCAGTGTTCGTGCTACCCCGACACCATCCAACGTCGGACCTCTGGCCCATATCTCATCCATTGCGTCTTCCCGGCTAAGCCATGGACTCAGCTTAGCATCTGAACAATTAGCTCGAGTGCAGCCACCAGCGACAACAGCCAGTATTCCTCAGGGCGGTCTCGAGCCATTCGTCCTTGATGCGCAGCGTCGCTACTACGAGGCAGTCGGGTTGGCCCATGACCACTACTCTGTCTTTGTCTCTACGGCATCCGAGGCGGTCTATGGTTCTCCAACCCCCACACCAGCCGGAAGCTCTAAGGGGATCATTGAGGAAGCAGGATCTCAATACGAGCATGTGTCCTCGTTAGTTTCTGCCAGCCTTGCCGCTGTCGTCGCATCTGCAAGCTCGGTCATGTCTTCCGCAGATGGCGGCAAAGCACAAAGTATTGTTGAAGATGCTTCATCCCGATACAATGCTGCCCTCTCTGCGGCTTCTTCGTCTCTCTCTGTGGCTTCCATTTCCGCTAGCTCTGTCATCCACGGAACCTCCACGGGCCCTGTAGAGTCCCTTTATAGCCAAGTACCTGAAAAATGGGAAAGCCTCATCTCGAAAGCCAGTGAGCAGATTTATGGTGCGCCAACGCCGTTTCTGCAGCAAGTGGTGAATAATGGGCGTCCGCAGTTTGAGGCAGTCCAAGGGCTTGTCTCTGAACTGATTGCGGGCAAGCAACCTTCATATACGGAGAGTGTGCTGAGCAAACTGAGAGCCGCATATGAGACGCCGTACCCGGCTGTCGCTTTCTCGTCTGCCTCTAGCTACGTTAATGAGGCTTATGGATCTGCGTCCTCCGTCGCTGCTTCTGTTATTTCAGAAGCCCCGAGCGTAGAGGACATCATACAACACGCGAATAACCAACTCCGTGCTGCTGTCGAAACCGCCAGCGTTGGTATCTACGGAACCCCCAAGGGTTCCTACGAGAAAGCCACTGATGCCGCAGCTGATGCGTACTCAACAGCATCGGCTCAGATCATTAGCGCAGTTTACGGCAAGGAATCGAGTTACCTCGATGTCGCTAAGGATGCCATTGAGAATATTCAATCTACAGCCAGCGCTGCTATCTACGGCAAGGAACCCAGCGCAGTGGAGAGTGCAGCTATTCGTCTCGCTAGAGCCAAAAAGGACGCCATGTCTCAGCTGGCTGATCTAGCCGCCAATCTACCGGCTAGCAACGTTATCTTCGAGGCAGTCGAGACCGCCACAGCCCACCTTAAAGATACAACAAGCAGCATCAAGAGTTCCGCAGTTTCAGTCAAAGATGAACTTTGATCGGTTTTTTTCAGCGTCTCTCAACTTTTTCTTTCTTTTTCTTCTTTTGATCCGGACTTAATCATTTTGTTCCGAAAGAAACCCATGTCTTGGGAATGCCATGCGCGGCTCACGACGCATTATTCCCCGTATAATTTGACACGATGGCCATATGCTCATGATTTGCAACATGCACAGACTTGCTTTCTTTTTCCCGCTCTATCTCAATTTTCCTCTCTACTCACTTCCTGGTTGAAATACGAGGCTTGTTTAATGTGAGATATGTTCAGTACATAACGAATGACTTTTTTGAAACTAAATATGTAGTTATGGAATTATTTTGTGTAATTTCTGAGCGGTTGGGTATCCCGACCTCGATGTGTATGTAGCTATCACCCACGGTGTGCATCCCTCCTATCAAACGGGCTAATAAGGATGATTACATAGGTAATGGCAAGAATCTACACATATAAACGGATTCGATTAATCTTGCCTCAGAAATCAATGCACACGTGTTATGTTTATGTGGAGAGAAAAGTGAAATCATGATATTATATAAAATCTACAGCGTCAGAGCCAAGCTCGTAGGTTGAGGGGGGTAGTAGGAAATTCCTCTGTTCCAATATATAAATATATAGAATGAAAATGACGGTCAAGATGGCATCCAACTAGGAAAGATGGAAATGACTGGAGTTCCCATTCTACATCAACTCATTTTGTACATATCCTCCACTCTCTGATCACCTATACTTCATGGTCGAGCCTCTCTTTTCTTTCTTCAACTGCGTCTTGCTCTTTGGGGCATCGGTCTCTTGACCCGCATCACCACCACCCATTCCAGCAAATCCCTTCTTCACACCCATTATCGTGGTGTAGGCGGCGTATACGGAGTATAATGGGATCACAGCCCACAACCACCAGGCCCTGTCATTGAAGAGGCAAACAGTAACAATGCATCCCTGGGTCCAGTAAAGTACATCCCACATATACTCCGTCAGACCGGTGGCGTTGAGATCTTCGCCGGCGGAACGCAGGGAACCATCTTCATTATAACGAGGCCGGCCCATTCGGTCCAAATAATATTCAATTGCAAGGGTCGGAACGGCCAGGAAGAAGTATGGCTTCAGTGAACGCGGCCGCTGGAAGGCAAAGTGCAGTAGGAGGAAGAGCAGGTGCAATGCAGCAGAGATGATGTGCGTACGGCTGAGGACAGCACCATTGCGAGCCGCTAGAGATTTGGTAGCTTTCTGTGATACGGTCAGAATTTTTCAACCCAACGATCGGAGCTAATCCGAGGTTTAGTCGCAGCAAGCAGGCGTCCTCACTACATACCTGAGCCATGGTTGAATGCGATCACCAAGCGATCTGCAATGATCTTTTCTAGAACAGATGCCCTAGATGAATTGACCAGGCTTTTCCCCTCTCAAGTGGCAAGCAGATGATCGGAATTCGAGACTGGGCGGAGAAGGAAGAAGAAGAGAGGGGACCTGCATATGACAGCTATAGCACATTGGGTGATTGTTGCCCTCCACTACCCCCACCGCCCGACAAGAACGGCAGAAATGACAAAGGCCGCCTCAGACCAGAATAACAGAAAGAACGAATCCTATTTGAGCACATCTTGCAGTCCTCCGCTTATTTGGAAATGTTCCTGGCACTCTGAGAGACTCATCCTGCGTCCGCAGATGACGTAACCAGAGGACTCACTCTTCACTTCTTTCTATTCTTCATCCGCTTACCATTTCCGGCTTGGGTTTACATTCCTCATTGTTCCACACCGAGAACACTCGATAGCTCCTGCATCTAGACGAATTCAAACCAAGACATCGGACTTGCTGCTGTCCATGTCTCGTGGCTGTTGATGGGACCATTCGCTCGTGCTGCAACAACCCACTCGATCGCGTCTTTGTTTCCTCCCCGCGTCTTGGAGGACATTACAAAGGCGTCGGACATTGATGCTACAGTAACGCTAAGGAACTGACTCTGCGCATCGCATTATTATCTCCACTTCCAATAATCACTAAAGAATTTCCGCCTTGCCTTGTGCTATCGCATACCGTGTTGCTGACCCCTCACTATGGCCTTGTCCACCGGGCATGTTGCCAGCCAGCTAAGGCACCTCATCTATTACCAGCTCGACAATAACCTAATCCGCAATGCGCTCTTCCTCGCTTCACGCCTCCTCGCATATGAACCACGATCATTTGAGGCCCAATATCTGCTCGCCCTTTGCCACCTACACAATGGAGAAGTGAAGGCGGCGTTCGAATGCAGCCAGCCTTCGGGCTCACGTGGTCTGCATGCTGGTTGTGCATATGTCTTTGCTCAGACCTGCTTAGACTTGGGGAAATACTTGGATGGTGTTACGGCTCTGGAGCGTAGCAAACCCCTCTGGGTCACTAAGAACCACTGGAGTAAGTGCCAGCAAACTTTTCCTTCAATTCCAAGCTCACTTGCTAACCACATTGTAGACAAGCATAGTGAGACTCAGCGACAGCACCTGCCTGATGCTGCAGCTGTGTATTCTTTGCAAGGGAAACTTTGGCACGCACATAAAGATTTGACAAAAGCAGTTGACTGTTACGTGGAGGCACTGAAACTGAACCCCTTCATGTGGGATGCTTTCCTAGGGCTTTGCGAAACAGGTATTGATTTAACTTCTTCTCTCAAGGCGATTTTTTCTAATGCAATATCAGGTGTCAATATTCGTGTCCCGAATATCTTTCAACTTAGCCCAGAACTTCTTGCAATAATATCTTCATCGCCGGAGGAAATAACTACTGTGCAGGACCACGTGGCTTACGAAGAAGGGAATTTCCCAATGCAGCCTCCAAATAACCCTGAATCCGACCCTTTTATGGTCTCTGCCTCCCGTGGCGAAACTGACACCACATTTGGAAGCTCTGCTCTTTGGGAAAAGTTAAATGGGAGCTCTGTTAATTTTGCTGCTATGGCACAGCCGGTTTTCCACGACGGAATGGAGACCCCAGGCGCACAGAGCAGTGGCTCTGATGACTTCCGCATTGCGAATGGCGTCACAGACCCAGAAGCTGGATGGGAAGCACCCTTGGCCCCTGCCCGAAAGACACGGACAATCCAAACTATGAGCCTTGACCATACCGGGCAACCTCCGCCGCGAATGCGTCCAACGGGAATCAGACCTCGCCACAAGACGCGGACCGAACCAGAGACTCAGCCAGCTGCTCCGGTAGAACGAGATTCCTCTCTTGTATCGAGATTCGGGGACCGCAAGCGCACAGTCTCTGGGCAAGTGGCCCATCCACTTCCCTCATCACAACCGAGTGAACCAGGTGCTCCCCAGCGCCGAAGCGTTCGCCTCTTCAACCAGATCAAACCTACAAGCAGCAAGCTTTCAAACAGCACGCTTACTGGCAGAGACGGTCGCGAGATGAAGAAGTTGAGAGGAGGCCCTACAAAAGGACGAGTAGGAGGTGTGCCCACTGTCGGCCGTGTCGTGAGTGGCAATCGAAAACCCATTGAGACACCCGACAATGATGGTAAAGATAATCGGACTGGCTTGTCTCAATCGCATCATCTCGTCCCCCCATTACCCAAAAATGCCGAAAAAACTAAAGAGCTTGAAGCCTTGGATTGGCTTTTGGGTCTTTTCAATAAACTTGCGTCTGGATATTTCTCATTGAGCCGTTACAGGTGCGCGGATGCCATCAGCTCTTTCAATTCTCTCTCGCAAGGCCAGCGCGAAACACCTTGGGTTTTGTCTCAACTTGGACGGACCTATTTCGAACAAGCAAGCTACACAGAAGCCGCGAAGTACTTTTCTAGGGTTCAAAAATTAGCGCCCTCCCGCATCGAGGATATGGAGATCTACTCGACCGTCTTATGGCATCTGAAAAGTGATGTAGAACTGGCTTACTTGGCGCATCAGCTACTCGAAGCTGATCGCCTATCCCCTCAGGCGTGGTGTGCTATTGGCAACTCTTTTTCTCACCAACGGGATCATGATCAAGCACTCAAGTGCTTCAAGCGTGCGACTATGCTCGATCCTGAATTTGCATATGCTTTCACGCTACAGGGACATGAATATGTCGCCAACGAAGAATACGACAAGGCATTGGAGGCCTATCGCCACGGCATCAACGCGGACAATCGACATTACAATGCTTGGTACGGACTGGGAACGGTGTATGACAAGATGGGCAAGCTTGACTTCGCTGAGCAGCACTTCCGCAATGCAGCCAGCATCAACCCGACAAACGCGGTGCTCATTTGCTGCATTGGTCTGGTACTGGAGAAAATGAACAATCCCCAAGATGCCCTGGTCCACTACGGACGAGCCTCCTCGCTAGCCCCCAACTCGGTATTAGCCAAGTTCCGCAAGGCGCGCGTACTTATGAAGCTGCGCGAGTACAAGTTTGCTTTGGCAGAATTAAAGGTCCTCAAGGACATGGCGCCGGACGAGGCAAACGTGCACTACCTTCTTGGAAAGCTGTACAAAATGCTCCACGACAAGGCCAATGCTATCAAGCATTTCACGGCAGCCTTGAACTTGGACCCAAAGGTACGTCTTAGAGTTTTTTTTTTTAGATTCCCCTCTCTTTTTTAAGTTCTTTCTGATTATGATCTCACACAGGCTGCACAATACATCAAGGATGCAATGGAGTCGTTAGACGACGACGATATGGAGGATGAGGACATAGCGTAGACGTAATGTCTCAGGTCTTTCTATTGGGTTCCCACGGGGGCCCTCTCTTATGAACTCGGCGTTTGAGGGCCTCTTTGCACGGCATCACTGTGGAGTTTTCTTTTCCAGGTTTAGACATCTGGCATATGATGGTGTTCTGTACATTAGTTTCACGGTTTTCCCTGGGCATGCATCATGAGGATGGTGAATGCATAATTCTATTATTTTTTGAGGATAGAGATTCTCATTATTGGCTGAATCCTTAAAATATACTTTGATTCTGGTGTAAATACCCCCGCAAGTGCCCTGGTGACACCGTCATATACACATACCAGGCGGTGAGTCGGCATCGGGGCAG